AGGTAGATAGATAGATAGATAGATAGATAGATAGATAGATAGATAAAGAGCATTGAAATCAAATCCACCACTCTGCTCTGGAAGACCATTTAATGCTTCCTCAAAAAGCTGAACATAGAAATTCCATATGACCCAGCTATTCCATTGCTTGGAATATACCCCAAGAAAATGAGAACTGAGGCTCAAATGAAAATTTGTACACCAATGTTATTATCAGCATTATTCACCATCGCAAGAACATGGAAACAGCCCAGATGTCCAACCACAAATGAATGAATGGACTGAGAAGTTGTGGTACATTCATACAATGGAATACTACACAGGACGTAGGAGCAATGATTTTATAAATTACTACCTATCTTGGGAGGGAGTGGAGAGCATTATGCTGAGTGAACTCAGTTCTACAAGGACAAATATTGTATAAAACCATTATTGTAGAATGAGTATGAGGATCCAAGGTGGAGAGGAGGGTGGAAATAGAGGGGTGAGGATGGGGGGAGTAAGGTGTTAATCATAGGACTGCACAATTAGAAGGGTAGGTAAGATGGAGGAAACGGGAAAGATCTTTTGTGGAATAACAATGTATTCAAACTTTGTAAATAAATTAGAATAATTTTTTTTTTAAAAAAAGGAAAGTAAACAAACACCAAAACCCCAAATCAAGGATGATAAAGTCTCATCTAACATGCTTTGAGCATCTTGTTAGGAGGGACTAGTCCTTGAGAAAGAACATGTCTGGAAAGGTGGAGGGTCAGCGTAAGAGAAAAAGACCCTAATAAAGATGGCTTGACAGTGACTGAAATAATGGGCTCAAGTATATCAGAGACAGTAAGTACGGTAGGATAGGCCAGGGTTCAGAGCCTTTGTTCATAGTGTTGCTATGAGTCATTGTTGACTCAACAACATATAACAGCATACATACGTGTGGAATATATTATTGCATACCATTGATTTGCAACCAATCCATAGCTGGCCCTCCAGAGGGTTTTCAAAGATTTACTACCCATCTTTCTCCCATGGAGCAGCTAGTGAATTGGAACTCCATGCCTTTGGGTTGGCAGCACAGCTCCTTACCACTGGCCTACTGTATGCATGTATATATATATATGTGCATAATATATATATTATTGTTACTGTTGTTGTTGTTGTTGCTGTGTACCATCAAGTTGAAAGCAACCCATAGCTGACCCTCCTGCCAGTTTTCAGAAACAATTAAACACACAGGAGGAGATTGTCCATGGAGCAGCTGGTGAACTCAGCCACATGTCTTCATGAGTGTCTTCAGCTTATTGCCACTAGGAAATAGAAAGATACACACACATACAGAAAGAGAGAGAGAATGCTCACTCTGATGGCACAGTGTCTAGAGTATGTCCTACTAATCAAATAATGGTCAGCAGTTCAAATACACCAGCTGTTCCAAAGGAAAAGATGGCAGTCTCCTCCTGTAAAGAAATCTTTGCAGATAGAGGGTTAAGTCTAAATCAATATAATAGCAGTAAGTTTTTGTTACACATTTATACATACGTGCATACATATGGTATAGATGAAGAGACTGAGCGTGGGGCAGCTAAGAAAATTGTTCAAGGCAAGTGAAAGAACCAAGCCCAAATCCAAACCCCTGAGTCTCCAAGACCAGATGATTAACATGATGCTGGTAGATGCCTAACATTGAGTAAACAGAGTCTGATCTCAAGTACAGGTCCTGTCTTCCAGACCAGTCACCCTGTGTGCTGCCCCTGCCCTGTACTATGTCTGCCCAGTGGGGGACAGCAAGAGAGGATTTGAAAGGTTTCTAAATCCTAGAAATCTGGAGAAAGAAAAAAATTCACAGTTTGAAGGTCACAGTT